TGTGTGGGCTGGGCGACCTACTGGGTGTGGACTGTGGAGCAGCACTCTTGGATTACAACGGGGGGGGGTGCCTCTGAGCAAGTCACTTATCCTCTCTGGGCTTATGTTTCCTCACCTGTAAAATGGGCCTCTAAGTGTTGCAGTGAGAATTCAATGAGCTGACATGTGTAAAGCTCAGTACCGGGCCTTACACTCACCACTTTAATGTTTTCCACCTTCTCTTCCACTTTCTTGATTAATATCCTACTAATAATTAATGGTATGTGTGGGGGGTAACAGCCTCCCTCCTCCCAGATCTGCTGACTGGTTCTTCTCTGTCCCCCACCCCATTAACCTGTAGCCAGGCAATGCAACCTTATAGCAACAACAACTCGCCCCCTAGAACAGAGTTAGCAATCAGAGGGGAGGGGGGGAGGGGAAGATTAATCTCCATCTCTAAGAGAGAGAGAGAGAGAGAGAGGAAGATTAATCTCCATCTCTGCCCGGTCTAACATGGCCCTTCTCAGGGAGTTTGAAACTTAACTGAGCCCCCAGAGCATGGGTTGTTGGCAGCTTCCAAACTAAGGAGTAGCCATGGTAACTTTACCTTGCTATTTCTATCCCTCTCCCATCCAGTGGGATTGAGTGTAGCAACTGCTCACACTGGCAACAGCCAGGCTTGATTCTGGTCTTCCTTTCAGGTCTGTAAAGACAATGATGAGAGGTGCAGACACCAGCAGGGTGCCTTGAAACTCTCCGGGTAGGGCCTTTGTAAAAGACCCCCATGATTCCTCCTGGTACTATGCGGGGATGGGGAGACTTGGCACAAAACCTGTAAGGAAAGAGGAACTTGAAATGAGAGGTGGGCTGATGTGGAGGAATCCTTTGTCTTTGATGAACTTCTAGGTAGCATGAAGGTTTTTACTTAATAGAGGGACTTCAGACAGATTTCTAAGTAAATTCTGCCCTGAAGGGAGACAGACATTTCTCCAGTGCTGGAGTAGTTTTATCCATGAGAGCATGTCAGAGAATTGAAAACACAGAACTGGCCCCAGAAGCTCTTCACTGGTTCCAGTCCAGGAACGAGAAGGTCAGGTCCTGCCCAGGTGGCTACAGAAGCCCTAGTTCACCATGGATATCCCTGGTGCTACATCTTCCCCTGCCAATCAGAAAACCAGCTCTCACTGGGAGTATGACACTTCTGGGTCTCAGCAATATCATCCTCTACTAAAATGTACTTTAGGTTTGCCAGTTCACTTCACCCTTCTGCTCACTGCCTGTCCCTGGGATGCAGAATTGCAAGTCTCTGGGCATCAGAGTTATCCTGGAGTTCTGGCCAGTCCTAGAGTGAGTCCTCCAATACTGCCAGGGAATTTCCTTTTTCTATGACTCCAGCCTATGAGTCTTGGGGGCAGTCCCCTGGTCACTGAACTCTGTCCTCTCAGCCTCCTCTGGTAGAGCTCCCAGGTTTTTAAGGAGGTTGGGGGGCAAGTCTCTGCAGACTTTGGGATCTGGTGAGTCCGTGGGCCCAGCAGCTGAAACCTGAGGAGCCACAAAAGCCACACAAAGGGTTTTGAAGTTGGAAAGAAGTTGAGCTTCACTCGGGTTAGTGCTGGAAAATATTTAGGGACCAGGGCTTCCCTGGTGCCAACTCACTGTGGCAAGTGCCACAAGGAGCACTGCTTCCCTGCAGCTTTCCTTTGCCTTTCCCTCTCTCTTTTAGTAGGAAGCCTGTTCCCAATGAAGGCTCCAATCAAAGTCAAAGTTGTGCACAGTTTTCTATCTCTTCTCAGGGAAGTCCAGCCGCGGGCCTGAACCTTCTATCCAGGACCCTGGTCAGTTCAGGGCCACCCTCCTCAAGGGTGCCTGCCCCCCACCCGCAGTGCCCCATGCCACTCTTGTGTGCACGTGTATGTGCCTCCTTAGGGTCCAGGGATGTTGGGGCCTCACACATTGAGGCTGAGGCTCCCAGCTGGATGAGTAGTTCATGCTCCTCCTAACTTGGCAGGGGTCTAGCTTGGCCTTCAGCTAGATACTGCTGAGAACTTGGGGACCAGAGTGGCGGGCAAGACTTAATTTGTCTTCTTTCAACATTGGTCCTTCTATGCATATACCCAGAGGCTGCACCAGCACGCGTCCCGTTGTGTTTTGCAGTGAATGAAGAGGCCACTACCATACAAAGCCCTCTACCTCTACCCTTAGCTTGCACGGGTCAGGGTTTCCAGCCTCTTCTGTATGTGTCTGCGGCTAGAGCTGGACCCAGTTTTAAATTCTTTGCAAGTTTCGTTTCAAATGGGAAATTCGGCATAAAGATGACTGGATCTTACCCTGCCCTCTGCTTGGGTTCACTTAGCGCCTCTGGGCTGCTTTTCTCTGCCCCCAAGTGCTTGGCCTCCTCCAAAATCCCTCCTAGCCTTTGGTGAAAAGCAAGGCCTACAGCACCCGTTCCTGGTTCCTGGACGCAGCTGTTCTGGCCAGCCGCCCGACATTACCCAGTAGAGGACCCCGAGCTCTAGCCTGCAGAGTTAGAGGATGGAACCAACCCCAGGCCTGGACAAGGGACTCTGTGTGGGCTGGGTTCCTCCCAGACTGGACTCAATAAATGGGAACAGGGAAACCTAGCCCCAGGTTCAAGGGCATTCGGCCAGTGGCTACTAAAGATGTCAGAATGCAGCAGCCGGTCTTTTCAGGAACAAGTGCATTCTTGGTCAGAGCTCTGGTGAAGAGACTGCAACAGGATCTGTCCCTGTTCATGATCAGGCTGAAGTTCTTGTTTTTGTTTTGTTATTGTTGTTGTTTGCTTTTATTTCCATCCAGAATCCCCCTTAAGAGCCATATCTTCAATCTGCATTACAGCTTTGGGTTGTAAGGAACCCTGTGTCCGCAAGAAAAGAGAAGTCACCCCAGGAAAGAACACAGAGGCCAAAGTTGGGCAAGTAAGAGCCAAGTAGTCCCCAGGGCCTGGCTCTTTGCAGTTTCAGACCTGAGTGGGCACCACAGCAAGGTGGTACAAAGCCCAGAGAAGGGACAGATGGGCTGATGGATCCCTAACCAAACATTCCTGTGCAGCCCTTTACCCTCCACACCGTGGGCCTTCCCGCAGCAAGCACTCAGCCCCAAGCGCCTGGTTCCCTGCTGAAGCCAAGGGAACCCACTGGGCTGTGTGGGGAACAGCAACTGCCCTTGAGCAGAGAGAAAATAAAAGCTCGGCAGAAGAGGATGTCTGAGTATCCAGACCCCCAGCCCAAGGCACGGCTTTCTCCGGGAAAGGTCAGAGTTCCACACAAGGAAATGTACACTCCTAAACTAGCAATCTTTAACTGAAGGGAAAGGGAGTTTCCCGGTTAGATCTGAAAAATAAAATTAAAGAAAAGCAAGTTGTGATAAATACTGGAAGGATGTGCTCAAAGGCTATTTAAACAGAATGGATGCGCAGGAGGGGAAGAGTTGGGGGCGATTGACAAACAGCCCCCCACTATCTTTCTCCTGGGGAAAACCAACAGGATGCTGGTTAAATCCTCCCCAGAAAATCGCATTCCTCAGCCCTCTTTCCGGGAGCTCCCTCCCACTCACACGGATGAAAAAGTTTGATTTACTTGAAGTTTTATTTAAAATCTCAACACTCAATCATTTATTTCGTTTTCTGCAACCAAACAAGTAATAAATATTATTTAGCACTTTTTTTTTTTTACAAAAATAAAACAGATGATACACTCTCTGCTAGGGCAGCGTTTATCAGAGGAGGGATGTTATGTGGCAGAGGATTTGAAGCCCATATTGCAACGCCACCAGCACCAGGCAATTTGCACCAATGCAGGAAGCACGTGGAGTAGTTTGCCATTTGAGTTAAAAAAAAAAAAAAAAAAAAAAAAACATGGCAAAAAGAAACCGATACAGAGAGGAAAGCCGGCTCAGACTCCGGAGGGGTTGGCAGTCACGTGAGCAAACAGCTTAGCATCGTGCACTTACCTCATCACTGATAGTGTATTTACATCTTCCAGAAAGAAATCATTAAACAACTAACAGAACCCCGCCCCCATAACTCAAGCTATATTCACAGCATCTTCTTTCAGTTCTGTCAAACCCTCAGGTACCAAAATAACTGTTCCCAATCGGGTAAGAAACCAAATCACTTTGTGTGTGTGTGTGTGTGTGTGTGTGTGTGTGTGTGTGTGTGTGCACGCGCGCGCGCGCTCAAGACGGAAAGAATGGAGAGGGCGGGGGCTAGTATTCATTTTAAAATACCGAAAAAACACCCGCCTCCCCCTAAATCGGCAGTTTGGGTTATTTCACTCCACAAGTGGTTCTATTCTGAGCGTCTATAAAGCTTGCTCATACTGTTGAAAAAGGAACATTCACAGATTTATTAGAAAACCACAAACCCCCAAGTCAACAAGAGAGACAGGAATGGCCACAGTTTTTACACGGTGTGGGTTTACCCAGATACGGAAACCGGGCATGACGAGACATGACCGTAAGTGCTTCGGGTACCAGCGCCAACTTCCATCTAACTCATTGCCCCTGGCCCAGGCTTGGAGACGACCCTTGAGGGTGAGGCCCAGCGGTTGCTTCTGCAGTGAGGATCCCACCAGAGTCTCCTACCAGCCGTGAAAGGAGGAAGGAGGGAAAGTCCCCGACCCCCCACGAAGTGCTGCCTGGGTCCAGTCTGGGAGTTAAACCGTGGCTCTTGGGGAAACAGTTTTAGACTCTTTCCCCCGGGGTGGAGAGAAGGAATTCGAGTGAAGGACGCATACGGTGGTGCCATTTTATGAAGTAGTGTCTACCGGATCTGCGCAGTTTAAAGCCGAGGGCCGAACTAGGTCCCGGAGTCAAGCGCCCCTCACTCCCCACTCTGCGCGTTCCCATTACTTCCATTCCCGGGTGCTGTAGTCCCAACCATTCCCCACCCTAGCCCATGGTCCTGAGCCCCTCCTCGCGAGCCCTAGTGCCGGCCAGTCCCCTCGCTTCTCTGCACCCTCTGGGCACCCCCTGCTCTCCAGAACGCTCCAGCACCGACCAGCTCACTTGGCGTCGGAGGTGAGGCGCGGCAGGCTGCCGGCGCCCATAGCCGACACATGGTGGTGTGGTGGTGGCACCTGGCACATGCTGCAGGGGCAGGGCATGCCTCCCCAGTGTTGGAAGCCACCGCTGCCTCCGCTGCCGCCTCCCCCGCCCCCGAGCGGGGCGGCCGTGGCCGCTGACGGAGACTTGAGCAAGCCGTGCGGAGGCCGGATGGAGCCGACAGACGACAGCCCGGAGCCCGGCAGAGAGGCGCTGGACACCGCCGCGGCGGCGGCGGCGGCAGCTGCGGCGGCTGCGGCGGGAGGCAGAATGGGGTGATGCACTGCCGGATGGTGCGCTGCGTGAGCGGCGGCCGCCGGGTGAGCGGTGGCCGCGGGCAGCGGTGCAGAGTGCGCCAGACCGCCGCAGGCCGAAGGATGGAAGCCGGCGTGGTGGCCTCCGTAGATCTCGCTCACCAGTCGCTTCATCTCCTCCAAAGAGTTGGTAAGCATGAGGATGTAGTTGCGCGCCAGGAGCAGCGTGGCGATCTTGGAGAGCTTGCGCACCGACGGGCCGTGCGCATAAGGCATGACCTCGCGCAGGCCGTCCATGGCGATGTTGAGGTCGTGCATACGCTTGCGCTCGCGGCTGTTGATCTTGAGGCGCAGCTGCTGCAGCTCCGGCTCAGTCATCTGTTTCTTGTCCTTCTTGGTGGACGACGTAGCCGCTGAAGACGTGGACGATGAAGTACTGGACGAGGATGACTTGAAGCCACTGCCGCCCAGCTTGTCCCCGGGGTGCGCGCCCGCCGCGCCCATGGCTCCGCGCAGCTCGGCGCTCAGCTCTGGAGGGCAGTCGCTCGGTGTGGACGAGGACACTGTGCCGCCTGTGAAGCCGCTGCCGCTACTGCCCTTGCTCCGGGCCGGCAGAAAAAGGTCATCGGGCTCTGGCGACGACGGGCGGCTGGACACCAGGCTGGCGTCCGAGTCCATGGCTCGGGGAATAGTCGCAACTTTTGCGAGGTCCTTTCTCCCTGGGTCCTCAGAGCTTCCCGGAGAGAAATGTGGGGGGGGGGGCGATATGAATATATGGAAGAGAGAAAGAAGACACTAAGTGAGACAGAAAAGCTGCTCCTGCCTGCTCCTTAGCGCAGAGTCCAGGCACGGGTGGCGGGTAGCTCTGCGTCCACCTCTCTGCTATCTCTGGCCTTGCTTCTAGCCGCACCGGTATTCAGGACTCATCTCCTCTTTCCTTCCCCACCGCCTCCTCTCTGCTCTCATCCACAGGTTGTTTTATTTTAGAGAGCATGGGTGTCCTCAGTGAGGGGTGTGCTAGAGGTTTTGTTCCTTCTATTAGGAATGGGAAAGCGGGGTCTCCAGGACTGGAATAAGCAAGGAACAAGTGAGAGCGTTTCTTCGGGTATTATGAGGATCTAAATTGAGAACTATTTATTTGGTTCCTCAAACGCATCCATCTTATCTCCATCGACACCGCGCAGCAACCACGCGCGCACTTATACAGCCAGAGGCTGCGAGGGCCCAGGGTCCATGTGTGCGTCTCGGGACCACCGGGAGCTCTCCAGACTGACCCGGACTGATCCACAGAAGGAGCTGTGGTCGCCTCGACTTATGGCTCTGGGCGGAGAGGATGCTGCGGTGAGTGAGGGGTGAGTCAAAGCAGTGAAATCGCTCGGTATAACTGACCGGTACAGGAGGGATCCAGATTCCCCTCCGTAGGAGCATCCTGAGTCGCCGCCGAGTTTGAGCGGGGGTGGGGGTGGGGGGAATCTGTCCTTGGGATCTAGTCTAGGGCTGCTGGGGGGCGGGGACACTTACTGTGAATTCGATTTGAGGAGCTTGCTCCAAAAAGCTGCAGTGGAGATCCTGGCTCCGGGCGCTAGTGTCGCGTAGGTCTATAATAAGCATCCGCACCTTTCAGGGATCGGCCGGTTTTTATAGCCGGGTGGCGGCGACGACGGCGGCGGTGGTGGCCGGGGCGGGGGCGGGGAAGGGAAACAATGTGCTTGTCCTGGAGGGGCAGCCGCGCCAATGAGCTGGGCTCACTGGAGGGGCTGGGAAGCTGATGTCATCCGGGCTAATTCCGCTCAATGAAACCCGCCCGGTCCGGCACACGCCTCCTCCCCGCGCACAACCAATGGGCGTCCGCGGTGGAGAGATTCTTGTGGAGGGACTGGAGGAGACCCCGCCAGCGACAGTGAGAGCCGAGCGGGAGGAGGAGGGCAGGCTCACCCGGGAAGGAGAGAGGGCCGAAAGCGCTGACCGAGGAAGAGAGAAGCATCGTTAAATTTCTATAAAGATATATTGACCACAGAGTCCTAATGGGAAACCGCGTGGGCTTGAGACCCGGCATAAAAACTAACCTGACGTCCAGCGCAGCTGGATCTTGGAGATGTGCGCAGATAACGCTCAAGACGCAGTGGAAGCTCCCTAGTTTTCTCTTCCTCTGGCTTCCTGCCATCTCTTGGGTTTGATCAACACGCGAGCATTTGGGCCCCCCAATTTAAAGATTAACCATGCACAAAGCCCCCACTTTCTTCTCTCTCAGAGCGCTTGTACTAGGTGGTTGTTGCCGCTGCTCCGCAGGAAGGCGGTAGCGCCCCCAGGTGGGAACACGGCTTTGCCCGGCAGAGAGCGGGCGAGGAAGAAGGGGACCGGCTCCAGGACGGTGTTTTGAAGGAAATCACAACTCTTCATAAAGTTGAGAATGTGCAAGGTCGAGTTGTTTCCGTACAGTAACCGCACTAACTCTGAGTAAGTGCATCACGAGTTAGATATCCCCACCGCCTGTTTACGAGCGGGGAAGCCCAGTGATAGCGTATCCAGCACGACTGGGTTTTGTTTATAAAGAGATGTCTCAGGCTTGAGCTAAGTCCTCCTTCTGCGGTGAGGTAGGAAGCGGAGATTGAACTGTTCCCGGATGGTTCCGGACACATTTTACTTATCACAGCCCGACTCTCAAATAGGGAAATACCTTGACCAGGAGGTATTGAACCCGAACTGGAGAAGCATCTGAGGTTGTCCAGAGGTGCCTAGGCACTTACCCATTTTACAGATTTTAAAATTCCATTCTAGATTTTAAAATCTAGAGACCCTACAGAAAAATTGCTCATTTCTTTACAGCGCAGCCCCTTCCTCTGGAGTACAGATGGCAGCGTGTAGGATCTTAGGGTAGAAGGAGCTGCCGGGGCTCCCCAATCCTTAACCTTTCCTTGAGCTGAATTTCTCATATCCTTACAGCTTCTCACAACACACACACACACACACACACACACACACACACACCCCTACACTCATACACACTGTCCCCACTTCTGTCTCCCAGGGCATATTAAGGGTTATTGGGTTACTTTCTTTGTTTGGGAACATTTAATATACACAAGGTGTATATTACAAAAACAAGCAAACATCATAATTTGTCTTCATGTAGCAACGTTACAAAACAAGCTAATACGAAAACCCAGGTTATTGCTCCTAGTTCGGTTCTAAGTTTTCCTCTAGGGTCGATGCTAGAAAACCCAGTGGGTTTTCGCCTTTGCCGGTCTTGTGCCTTCTGGAGCATAATTTTTCAACCCGCGTGTTTTCCAGCTGGCTCTGCAGCCATCCGTTAAATATGTATTTAAAACATGAAGAACTGAAGCGTGGTGATATGCCGTCCAACGGTTGCAAGGATAACCCATAACCGTTCAATTACCAGAATCTGTCACACAGACGGTCGAACCCAGGGAGCGGGGGTGGGAATCAGGGAGAGCTCCGACCTTTGGACTTCCCCGTCAACCGCAGTGAGGACGTGAGTGGAGGTGTGAGCTGTGGGGCCACCAGCTGGGCCGTGGAGTTGTGCGCCTGCCAGAGCATCTAATAAACACTAGCGGGCACACCGTGCGCGCGCCTTGGTTGCAGGCGCTGCCTTCAGTCCAGCCGCCGGCACGTGTCCCAGAGCTCGAGTTTCTTTTTTTGTTGCTTCCCACTGGTATCTATCTTGCGTCCAGCGGTCTGCGGGAGAGCTTGATTTGACATTCTTTACACGTTTGGTCCAGTGGCTGGAGTCGGAGGCAGGGCCGAAAGTGGGGAGCTCATCCTAGGAAGGAGCGAGTCTGGAGCCTGAAAGGCAGAGTCCGAAGGCAGGAGAGTTCGCTTGCTCTCCAAGTTCCTCCTGGACGCCCGTAAACACTCCAGCCCCATCAGGCGCCACTGAGCTGAGATTGCAGGGACAGTTCTGGGGCTGTGCAGCGGCACCTCGCGGTTCTCCTTTGGTTCGAAGCTCGGGCTGGCAGCTCTGGGCTGTAGGCCTCTTCTCCTGGCTGCCTTCCCCTAACAATTTCCCTTCGCCAGAGTTGCTTGGGAGATGAGTGTGGGGCGGGGGTGGGGTCTGTGTGCCTCTCATTTTCATTATTTTGGGGGCAAACTGGACGCTGGATACATCTCACTGTGTCCCGCCCCCGGCCCCGGAATAACTGGAAATTTAAAGTGGGGCGGCCAGCGCTTGCCCTCGTGCGTCCTGCATGCGTCGCGGCACTTGTCCAGGTACTGAGCCTAGCGCCCGGAGTACACCTCCTGTGCTAGTCCCGGCAGCCGCGGTTCCCAGCAGTGCGCTCAGTTGAGCCCAAGCCATTTCCCCCGGAACTGAGAGCTCACAGGCTCGGGCTACTTGGCTCCGGGGCTTCCTGGCTGGCCCTTGCGTCCTAGAGCGATTGGTCTCCTCCGTCAAAACGGAAGAAGTGTTTTTCCCTCTCCTTTGTGGTTCCCTCGCACAAAAGGCCGGGTGCGTATCGGGGCGGCCTTTGCTTGGCTGCCTATGCCAGACCCGCGGGGGTGGGGGTTCGCGCGGGGTTCCAGGACGCAGACCTCCCACCGCTTCCGGGTCTCTCCCCGGCCTCCCGCGCCTTTGGTTCTGTTTCTCCCCTTTCCCTTCCCCGAGTTCCTGCTTGCATTCAGGCGGCATCTCTTCCTGGCTGCCAAGAAGAGCGCCGTCCTTGTGCAGAACCCGCCAGGGATGAGGTGGAAGGCAAGGCTCCCGGCACAGGAAAGGAAAGGGAAAAAAAGGGAAGGGGAGCGGGGATGCATTTCAGCCATCAATCCTGGCCCGCAAATTAGGAGGCTACAGAATGGTAGTATTTGGTGCTCAAACTAGTGCGATGAGACCGCTTCCCGCCCCGAACTCTGTAAACAAATGGCAAGTGTTCCTTGCAAAACTCAGCTCCAATAGCCCTCCGAGTCGTGCTGGTGTCCCAGACCAAGAACGGGTCCTGGCACGTGGCAGGTGCTTGACACATAGTTCTTCSTGCGTACATGTGCAAACGTGCGTGAGTTGGTGTGAAACATGACTAATAAAATACACGTAAATGTGAGCAAAGGTGAGTTGTATGTAGTCGTGTGCACAATAACCAAGAGATCTGTATCCGGATTGTGGAGTGTATGGAATTTTTAGAAAGATAGGGCTGGTGACTTTCATCAAATGATAACTCTGATCACTTGGAGGCAACCTAAGCTGTACCAGTCACTTAATGGGTGCTGATAGACTTCATTTTATTTGTTTTMTTACTGGCCCCAGAGGGAAGTATTACTTTCACTTTACAGATGGAGCAACCGATATTCAGAGAGGTGTGGGCATTTGCCCAAGGTCAGGAGCAGGGGGCCGGAGACCAGGTGCAGGCAAGGACTGTGGGCATCATAGATTTAAAAGATCTAAGTCCCTAGCCTCAGTTTCTTCTTGGGAAAGCAGGTTCCTAGTGGCTACCTGTGTTTGCCAAGGGTGTGACAGATTTAGAGTGCATGGGAAGAACCTAATGACACCTTCCCCTTGTAGTTTTGCCGTTTGCAGCACTGAGTATACTGGAGCCCATACCCTGGTCTGATTTAGGCTTACCTGCCAGCAGAGGCTGGACCCAGAGTGGGTTCTACAAGACTTCTGGGAGCTTGGGGAGAAAGGTGCAGTGGCAGGGAAGCTGAGGGGAAACTAGCAAAGAAGCAACCCAACAAAATCCAAACTGATGCCCCCGGCCCCCCCTCTAGGCAGGGATCACTCTCCCCTCTGGCAAAGATTACTACAGCCATTTGGGCCACTGAAGTTAACCACTTTACCCTTATCCAAGTTCAAGGTGGAATATTAGAATAGGTCTGAGGAGGGACTGGAATATACTTTTACTGGACTCAGATTACGATCCATTATCTTTCCTAATCTTGGCAATTACGTATTTGATGTTAAGAAGGTTGTTCTGATTTCACAAATCTAAATACTGATGACTGAGGGTCACTTCAGGGGCCGAGTCTGAACTCCAGCCCACCAGATCTTAAGTCCAAGGCACCTCCATTCTCCTTCCAGTGCCCTCTTCCCCCTCCCACCTCCTCCCAGGAGATACTTGGTCCACACTGTGGCCTTGACTAATTGTATACTTCCATACCAGGGGCCACTGCCTTCTAGGTCAGGATTAATCTAGAGAGTGGGGAATGGGGTGAACCTGCCATAGAGCACCTGGACAGAGGTGTCCTTGGTCAGAAGATGGATGCTGAAGCCAGTGCTTGTGTTCCATTCATTTATAAGGTGCATTGGCAACCTTAGGCCCTGGATAAGGGGAGGTATGGTGGGAGAGGCTCAATCTGACTACTAAGAGGGGAAACCCAGGGTTTTAATGACCCAACCTTTGTGTGCTCAGGCTGCAGAATCACAAGGGTGATTACATGCCTCTCAGCTGCAAGCAATGTATGAACTGTCTGGCTTGCTATGTCCAGGGGCGGGGTGGGATGAGGCTTGATTTGAAGATTGCACTGGCTGTACTTAYAATGAGTATCAATGTGTCTCCACATGGATTTCAGGTTCAAGTCGGAGTTCTGAAGGATGTGGCCCTCTCCCTCCCTGATCTGACCTCTGCTGGC